GTGCCTGTGTTGATGGAAAGTGTCACATAATACAGCTCATTTTTGCCCTTATTAAGTTCTGAGTCTCTTATTGCTTTTATTCAACAAATAATATGGCATATATTACATACTCACATGGTTTAGTTATAGACAGTGCCTGATATTCTACATTTTCTCAAAATTCTTTCTATATTGAATGCTTTCCTTTCATAGACTAGATTTGTACATCTTTGGCTTTTAAAAATAAATCAAAACTGCTTCAACATACAAAAGCTCAAACAATTGTAAATTAGAGGCATATCTGAAGTGGGCGAGAAATTCACATTCAGAAAGAAAAAAATTCAGTTTGTTCTCTTCAACCTTCCCTCCCACCCCCAACATGAGAAAAAGAAAAATTATAAACAGTTCCAAAATACAGATTAGGAAATAGTAAAATTTATTTCATCAGTGAGTCTATTTTCCTACTCTTGTATACTGCAGTGTATTAATGTTCTTCACATAAATTTATCAACAGGAATTGCTCTTTCTTGAAGTGGTGGTGTTTTTGTTCTGTCTGTAAGGTTGTCATTGTGTAAGCTGATATTTTTAATAGTTCTGCTTTTAGAAAACAAGTATTAAATTATTTTAAGTGCTTAAGCAAAATTGAGATACACCAAACCGATGACGTTAAAATGTCAAAATAACATTATTAAGTATTTAGAAAAGAAGTCAGATTTACTATGCTTATATTGGGTTGGGATTTTTTTTTTCCACGTATTTCATGTAAGTATCAAAACTAATAAACATCAGGGCTGATGACTTGTTCTCTGCCATTGTAAAATCTACCCCTCTAATCTCAAAAGCACTATTAAACTGGACAAAGGACAGACTTAGAGGATTTCCTGTGTCTCCCATAGGCCCATTATGGTTTCATTTTGCCTTAAAGAGAAATAATACACAAACTTTTATAATTGACATATAATAGTGATTTTAGTAGGATAAAATTTTATGTGATCACCTAATATTATTTATCAGATATTAAAACTGAAGACTTGGTATACGATGTGTGTAATTAAATCATTACACCAGATAGCTAGAATTAGTTAAAAGAAATGAATGTATGTAAAAAGCTTCAAA